GGCTGCTGGGAGCAGGGGGCGGGGCTTGTTGCATGCGCCCACCCCCTGGGCTCTTTACTGCCGGAGCTCCGCTCCTGTGTGCTCCTGCAGTAAATGACTCCTGAGAATAGGCATAGATCAAGGTGGGTAGCCATGTTGGTCTGAAGCAACAGAACATAGTTAGAATCCAATGCACCTTTAAGACCAACAAAGTTTTATTCAAGGTGTGAGCTTTCGTGTGCACTGGACTCTAACTTTGTTGTAAGAATAGGCAGAGGTCATTTCGGGGGGGATCACAGTTCCCTCGGGTGAGGTGTGGGGGGCGGGGCACATGACAAAGCCCCGCCCCCTGCTTCCGGCCCTCAGTCAGCCAGGAGGAGGCAGGAGAAGAGGGAGAGTAAGCTGTTTCGTCCCTGCCTCTCCCCACCCCTGCCTGCCTGGGGCCAGGGAGGGCCTTCGCGGGGCTTCCTTGCACTCCCGCTGGCCTTGCAGGTCCACCGCCGGGCCCCTCATGGGGCTCGGCAGTGGAGCTGCAAGGCTGGCAGCGGCGGCCGGGACCGTTGGGGGCAGGGTGTGTGGCCTTATGACACACTTCCGGTGATGTCAGGGGGTGTGGCCTTATGACACACTTCCGATGATGTCAGGGTGTGTGGCATATGCGAATGAGTTATGCTAATGAGTCCCCCTAGCTCTTTTTCTACGAAACGACCCCTGAGAATAGGCATGTGATGGGTGCCAACTTCTGAAGCGTGCCATGCTGTTCCCTGTGTGCCCTCTAGGTGTGCCCAGCTGCTCCTGGAGTATGGGGCCCTGGTGAACCAGCACACAAGAGACCACCGTGCTTCCCCGTTGCATGTGGCTGCGAAGCACGGCCTAGACGACCACGTGAAGCTCTACCTCTGCTACGGGGCTAACGTTGCTCACCGCAACCGAGAAGGGGAGACTGCCCTCAATGCCGCCTGCGCCAGCGCAGACAGACCTGAGGATGCTGGCCGCTACTACCAGGTAGCGAAGCGGTTGTTGGACGCTGGGGCCGACGTCCGGATTGCCGGGCGGAAGAACCACACGCCGCTGCACAATGCTTGCAGCAACTGCCACCTTCGCCTTGTGGAGCTGTTGCTGCAGCATGGGGCAGAAGTTAACGTGAGCAACTGTGCCGGATACACACCTATGGATTGTGCCCTCCAAGCAGTGGAAGATTACCTGGAGGGGGAGCCAGAGAGAGTCGCAGTGGCTTTGCTTGACCACGGGGCAGCTCCTGTCAACCCCAAGGTAAGGGCAGAATCCTTGGCTTCTCTTTGGTGGCTGATCTGACAGCACCTCATGGGACGGCCAGTTATCCTTTGAGTCATATACCGTATATATTTCAAGAGGAAGAAGAGGGGCTGAGTGTCCAAGAGAAGGGGGCGGTGTCTGCGCAAGTACTGGTAGATAAGGTGGGGAAGGATGTACACATGGAAGAGTGTCTCAAGAAACACAACAGAATCTGAGTTCAATGGCACCTTTAAGACCCAACAAAATTTTATTCAAGGCGTACGCTTTCGTGTACACGCACACTGTTACCAGTCCATACATGTAGATTGAGGGTAAGCAGCAAATTAGCATACAACATAATGAAGATATTTAACAGAAGAAGAGGAGGAGGAGGAGGAAGAGGAGATTGGATTTATACCCCGCCCTTCACTACCCAAGGGAGTCTCAGAGTGGCTTATAAACTCCTTCCCCTTCCCCTCCCCACAACAGACACCCTGTGAGTTAGGTGGGGCTGAGAGAGCTCTGAGAGAAACTGCTCCTTTTTCAAGGACAGCTCTGACAGAACTATGGCTTGTCCAAGGTCACCCAGCAGCTGCAAGTGGAGGACTAGGGAATCAAACCCGGTTCTCCCAGATTAGAGTCCGTGCACTTAACCACAACACCAAACAGGTGCAAGGACCAAACAGGAATAACAAGCTTAGTTCATATGGGCACTGTTTGTTTGGATTTAATTCCAGGGGGAAACATAATGAAGGAAATAAATATATCAGGACTGGAGACTGATGTGGAATAATTGTGGAATAATTAGACCCATAAAGTCTACCTTCTAAAGCAGCCATTTCCTCCAGGTGAACTGATCTCTGACGCCTGGAGATCAGTTGTCATAGTAAGATATCTCCAGCCACTACCTGGAGGTTGGCAACCCTAGTTGGTAACCAGTGGTCCAGTCCAGAAGATGGCTGCTGCTAGATACCCCATTGTAATTATTTGGCATTATGACTGTCCTGTACTAGTTCCCTGTTGAAGGCTGGGATAGAGGAATTGGAAGAACACCACAAGCAAACAAAAGTCAACAATGGGAACAAAACAGCCAGTGTAGGTAAAATCAGTCCTTTAAATAAAACAATATAACAGTAAAGATTAAAGCAGAATAATGCAATGCATAATTTGCATAATTGTAATAATGCAGCTAAAGCAGAATAATGCAAAGATTAAAGCAGAATAATTTAATGGTAACAGCGTTCCGTGCGCCTTGGTGTTTAGTCATGCCGGCCACGTGACCACGGAAACGTCTTCGGACAGCACTGGCTCTTCGGCTTTGAAACAGAGACAAGCACCGCAACCCTAGAGTCGGACTTGACTGGCTTTCGAGCAAGGGAACCTTTACCTTTATCTTTAATTTAATGGTACATGGAAAAACAGCCCTGCAGGCAGGAGAGGGATCAAGTACCACATAAAAACCTTCCCCTGCTTGGTGTTAAGTAGTTCCCAAATCTAGCCAAGTGGTTAAGTAGTTCCCCCACAGCCATATGGTCTTCAAAATGTCTTTCTTAAATGAGGTATAGAAGATAGTCAGAGTCGTATGTACTCCATGGTTAAAAACATGGTATTCACAATCTCCTCCTCCTCCTCCTCCTTCCAAACCAAATTAGCAAAGCTTACTCTTATTTGCATAATAGTAATAGCAGTAGTCCAGTTGGATCCAGCCAACTTTTTTCATTCTGTCTTGGGCAATTTCTCCCTGCTTACTTTAGTCCCCGACATTGTCCCAAATGGCTTTTGTTCATGCGGGGCTTTTGTTCCCTAGCAGAGCCTTTTGCTTACCAACCTCCAGGTGGGGCCTGGAGTGCACCCAGAATTACATCTGATCTCCATACTTGAGAGATCAGCTTCCCTGGAGGAAAGTTTTCACCAGTGGAAAAGCCAGTTGGATCTAACCCTAAATGAAATGTCAGACCCAGACCATAACCCCGCTTGAGTCCTGATACATGGGCACACCTCCAGCTGTTCTCCAGCGGTTTTGTGCTTTCAAGCCTCTCTTTGCAACCTAAGGAGGTAGAAATTTGTCATTTCCACCCTCCAAATGAAAGATGAGTCTTGGAATAGTTATTCTCATATTCCGAAACTTTTTCATTTTTGTTTTCTAGCAGATTGGATTTATTTTGGGGTACTGTATGAATAAGAGGTTCTTCTTCAAGACCGGAAGGGGGTTTGGTGTGGGATTCTTTTTAGGACCTCTACGTTTTTCTTGTCTTCTGAGATGTTCACACATGCACCCGATCTCTTTCCTTGGCCCTTTTGGTCTTAGATGCTGAAGTTCTGTGCTTCGTCGCCTCGGGTTATGGAAGTCGTTTTGAATTCTTATGACCGAGTCCTTTCCTGTGATTCCTGGGTGGGGTCTGTGCCCCCTGAAGTATGGCGGGTAAGTCACTTCAGTTCTCTCCTCACCCTCCTGTGTTTATAATTGTGGGCCTGGCCGTTTTATCCTGCCAGATGAGAGCTGGATTCTATTCAACATTCATAGCGAAAAGAAGGTGGGGAGGAAAGGGCTGCCACTTGCGGTCTGTTAGGATTGTCAAGCATGTTGCTCATACTGTAATATGGGAAGAAAGCAGTGTTCCCTCTAAGCTGAGTTAGTGTGAGCTAGCTCACAGTTTTTTAGCCTCCAACTCACACATTTTTGTCTCCGCTCAGGAAGGATGGCTCCAGAGCAAACTAACGTATGCGGTAGCCAAATCACTTGCTCACAACTTTAATGCCAGTAGCTCACAAAGTAGAATTTTTGCTCACAAGATTCCACAGCTTAGAGGAAACATTGGATGAAAGCCCACCTGTCTTTTGAGGGTTACTCAGATAAGACAGGTGAAGTGTTTTGAGACCACAGGAGGAAATTTCTACATGTATAATTTATTAATAATTAAGTCTATCACATGGAGCAGGGTACGTGTGTGTCTTCCATTATGGCTGTCTTCAATTATACTGTTTTTGATCAGCATGTTCTGCAAAGCTGGAATATCATTTCAGGGAGGGCCAGTTTCCAACTGTACTTCGCAGAACAGCATTTCCCAGCTTGTGGCTCTTGACTCCCAATCCAGGAGGGGCTTCAAAAGGGAATTAGATAGGCATATGGAGCAGAGGTCCATCAGTGGCTATTAGCCACAAGGTATAGATAGGGATGCTCTGTCTTCTTGGTGCTTGGGGAGGGGGCCCAACAGTGGGAGGGCTTCTAGTGTCCTGGCCCTACTGCTGGACCTCCTCATGGCACTGGTATTTCTGGCCACTGTGTGACACAGAGTGTTGGACTAGATGGGCCTTTGGCCTGATCCAGCATTGGCTTCTCTTATGTTCTTATGTCTGGGGCAAGGGATGCTCTGTCTTCTTGGTGCTTTGGGGGGGGTCAACAGTGGGAGGGCTTCTAATGTCCTGGCCCCACTGCTGGACCTCCTGATGGCACCTGGTGTTTTTGGCCACTGTGTGACAGAGTGTTGGACTAGATGGGCCTTTGGCCTGATCCAGCATTGGCGTCTCCTATGTTCTTATGGGTTGTGACCCCTGTGCAAGTGGGTTTTGGCGGTTTTGTTGATTTGTACGTGCTCCCTCTCTCTTTTTTACTGGCCACATAAGAACATGAGAGAAGCCATGTTGGATCAGGCCAATGGCCCATCCAGTCCAACACTCTGTGTCACACAGTGGCCAAAACCCAGGTCACCCTATCCAGTAAACTTGGACTTAATGAATGACCATACCTGAAAAGTCGGAAAGTAGGGTTGCCAGCCTCCAGGTGGTGGCTGGAGATCTCCTGGGATGACAGCTGTTCTCCAGGCAACAGAGATCAGTTCACCTGGAGAACAGACCCTCTGTGGCATCTCTCCCCTCCCCAAACCCTGTCCTCCTCAGGTTCCACCCCTCAAAATCTCCCAAGTGTTTCCGAACTCAGAGCTGGCGCACCCTGTTGGGAACCAGTCCTGCTCACCAGGCTGGGACAAAGACCTGGTCTGTTTCAAAGAGCTTACAACTTTCGACTTTGACTCTAGGACGTGACGGCTGAGCCCCAGCCTGTAGCCATGGAACTCTGCGACAGCAGAGTTCCATGGCTACAGGCTGGGGCCCAGCCGTCACGTCCTAGAGTCAAAGTCGAAAGTTGTAAGCTCTTTGAAACAGACTCTGAGAGTCATCCCATCCGCCCCGGGTTTTACCAGACAGTGTTTTTTCCAATTAAGCAAATGCAACCAGGTAAGATACCATCAGGCCTAGATTTTATACCAATTGACCTTTTGAAAGCTAACCCACAGCGGTGGAGTAAAGCTGTTGGGCCCTATTTTTACTCAGATTAGTAACTCCGGAACCTGTCTTGGAGGCACACGGGAATTGCCCCCATGTATGAAAAGGGGCCTAAATCTGACCCTGCGAACTACCATCCATCGGTTGGAAAGGTCTATACAATTTAAAGTCAAGTCAGTTTTTATTATTACTGGCTTATGGGTTTAAATTATTTATTTCTTTATTGTATTTGTATCCCGCCCATCCCGCGAGCGGGCTCAGGGCGGGTCACATCCTCTTTCAACAATTACAATAAAGTTTGAAAGTACAGTATAAGCAGGGGTCATTTCCTGCAGGAGTGCACAGGAGCGGAGCTCCGGCAGTAAAGAGCCATGGGGGCGGACACATGCAACAAGCCCCACCCCCTGCTCCCAGCAGCCCTCAGTCAGAGCAAGAAGCAGCCAGGTAAGTTTCAGAGCCCCCCCCCCGGTCCAAAACAGTCCAGTGGCACCTTTAAGACCAAGTTTTATTCAGGTACAAGCTCTCTCTCCTCTGCGAGGACAGATCTGCATGTTCTCCCCCCCACACACACAATAGCTATCGATCCAAAACAATCCAGTGGAGCCTGAGCGGTGGGTGTTGCCTTCTGACACACTTTTGGTGATGTCCGGGAGTGTGGCATATGCAAATAAGTTATGCTAATGAGTTATGCTAATGAGCTCCTGCACCTCTTTTTCTACGAAATGACCCCTGAGTATAAGCATTTAAAAACAGTGGTTATAGCTACTGGTGGAAGTTCCGACCCATTAATACTGATGTATATGGCGGTTGCTGATGGCTGGGTGGCCGGGAGGTGGGAGACGGCAACCTTGGGGAGGACATATGTGGACGCCAGCTGCCTTGACCAAAAGCCTGGCGGAAGAGCTCCGTCTTGCAGGCCCTGCCAAACTGAGTAAGATCCCGCAGGGCCCGGATCTCGATGGGGAGCATGTTCCACCAGGTGGCCCTGGTCGAGGGTAGCCAGGGACCACCAGGAAATGTTATTAGAGCGTCAAGCTCTTCGAGGCGTATACGGGATTTTAATCTGCATGTGAATGTCTGTGGGTGTGTATAAAATACAGTATTGATTAAAACTGTAGGATTAACTGCCCTGAGCCCCATTGGGGTGAGGGTGGTATATAAATCAAATGAATAAATAAAGCAGTGTCGTCGAGAGGTGAGATCCAAAAGCCAGTCTGGGGTGCAGGCAACAAGGTCCCAGGGGGCTGACAGTGCCCACGCAAGCAGCTTGGTCAGTCGGGGACAAGTTGATTCCATACCGGCTTGTGCCTCCCTGCAGGGTAATAGAAGCAGCGGTCATTTCGTAGAGAAAGAGGTGCAGGAGCTCATTAGCACAACTCATTAGCATAACTTATTTGCATATGCCACACCCCCTGACATCACCAGAAGTGTGTCAGAAGGCAACACCCACCACTCAGGCTCTACTGGACTGTTTTGGATTGATAGCTATTGGGGGTGGGGGAACGTGCAGATCTGCCCTCACAGAGGAGGAAGATCTTGTACCTGAATAAAACTTGGTCTTAAAGGTGCCACTGGAATGTTTTGGATTGCTAGCTGGGGGGGGGGGGCACACG